TTATTGCTTTCGTTGAAAGTTAACGAGAGCACATAGCACGAGGTCCCGTGGGAGAGCATGCTATATAACAGCTCCCTCGGGCAAATTGAACACTAGGGAGGATATTTTTAGCAAACATTTGGGCTGTCATTAGATTAGATTCTTATTTTGAATAAAAAATGTGGATGTTTGAGTTCTTGAACATCTACAGCTTTACGTACAAAAATTTGATTGTTCTTGTTCAATGGCTAGAAGTTATTATTTTGTTTTTAGGCACATAGAGAGTACAAATTATTATTATTACTATTATTTCTCCTTTGAGGATGGTTGTAGAGTTCTAGAGATTACATCCACAAACTTTGAGATCCAAAATTATACCTAGTGTGAGATTTGCCTGAGTGAGTAAATGAACAGTGTGCTCCATGGGATCGTGAAATCTTTCCACAAAGACTATAAGTAGTTCTATTCCCCTCACACGTATACGCCCATATGCCCTCTTTTTCTCATTTTTTAAGCAAATCTAAACTAATCAAAATTTCTTCATTTCGCTATTTCTTGGAGCTCTTTTTTTGGAATAATTATTTTTGGCTCTCTACGTTTGATTAACCATAGGTGTGGTTTATGGTAAGGCGCACACATTAAACAATCAAAGTAAGGCATACCTCCAAACCCCAACACTAGATGTATTTTTTGTTTCAACAAGTTTTAATGGCTTGAAAATCAATTTCCATTATTAATTATAGAATATAAAGCTCCAAAAACGATGTTGATCGAGTAAATCTATAGACACTTGAAAATCTAAAAAATAGATGGTCCAAATAATATGTTAAAAGATGCATTCTTTTAAAATTATTATTATTACTATTACTATTACTATTACTATTACTATTACTATTATTATTACTGTTACTGCTACTACTACTATTATTATTTTATGGAAAATTGTTTCATGTGGGCTGGACCGCATTTCTACAATATGTCATCGCAAGGTATAAAGCATCGAGCTTAAAGATGGATGCAAATAGGCGGTCCATCTAAAAATAATTGAAACTAACGGTCCAAATATTTTCTTAATAGAATTATTATTTTTAATTTTAAAATTTTATTTATTTCTTCTTATTCATGATATCGTCTTTAAAAATTAAATAAAAAAATCCATCTCAAAAATATATTTTTAAGAGGGGACTCATTTCTAAATGGACTCGCAGAAATCGTCTCCTTATTTTATATCTATACATGTCAAGGTCGAGATGATCAACAAGGGAGGCTCCAAACATAAAAACAACATTTTCCGATCGACCTTTCAGGTGCCCCTCACTCTTACAATGTAAGACTAACACATCATATAAACTGCTTCCTTTCTTCCAAAACCAGATTAATAGTGACTTTTAGGTTACAAATATGCTGCCCTTTCACAAATTGCTAAGTAGGGTTCAACTTGGAGTCAATACTTCATTTTGGACAGTGTGAATCCTACTTCCATTATCGGCCTTTTCTGCATTTGATAATCATTTTTTAGAGACACTTTCGAGCATTAACATGGGTGATCTTTGAACCTATCATTCAAAGTGAGATTATTTTATTCTTAATACATTTTTAAAGTATTTGAACCATTACCCCACCTTCTCTTTGGCATATATAAGTCCATGCATTGTTGTTGATTCCGTAGTTGGGCGCAGAAACAAAGTATAAGGTCAACTCTACTCAAAAGACATGGTTGTTGCTGCACATGGTTTGCCAAAATAAAAAAAATAGAAATGAAGAAAATAAAATAGAGAGAAGAAATTGTAGAGTAATTTACCCAAAAAAATGGAAATTGTATAGTAATTTGTGCATGTCCAATAAAAAAAAAAAAAAAAATTTAACTCACCAAATACTTTAAGGGATTGTCGATAAAGATATCATTTATCTTTTGAAACTAGTTTAATAATAAGTAAAGCCTCACCTCATAATTTATAAAAACTTATAATTCAAGCAATAGAAAACATCTAAATGGATCATCTCGGCTTGAACATTATAGTTGTGAAGAAAATTTAGGACTTCAAGCTCTGAAAATAGTGTATATTGTAATAAATTAGCTAGACTGTTTATTTCACCCTGAAAATTTCACTGATCTGCAAGATCTGTACATGTTTTTAGTTTCAAAGTTTATTATCGGTGTTAGAAATTGATTTTTGAGTTTTCTTGGTCCTGACGAGGATTTGAGGTGAGGCTTTATTGTTTTCATAAAGCCTAGGCTTTATAGAAACTTCATTCTTTATCTTTTGTACAAGGAAGTCACAATTATGAAACGAAAGTATATACCTATCAAATTAATATAGGTGTGTATGGTAATCTGTATAGTTGGGACGGTGTATATTGTAAGGTATTGGAAAAGGTACATTAACTTGATAGGCAATATATACTTTCTTTTCACGACAACCATTTCCACTCATTAGATGTCAAATTGGATGGTTTGGGGTGACTCACGAAGTTCAAGAATTTTTTTAAAAAAGACTTTGTGTTTATTCGATGATACTCTTACAACTGCCCATTTTGAAATTTAAGGGACAAGAGTGATTATGACATCTTGGTAGAAAAGATAAAAGGTGTGGTTCTTATATAGCCGAGGCTCTAAACAATTAAAGTAAAGTGCACCTTCAAATAGTGTCGAGAAATGTGGTTTCAATACAAGAAATCTTTGTGATAGCTTTAAAATATATTTTCATCTTTAATTATAAAATTTAAAACTTAGAAAATACTGTAGATCGAGCAGATCTATAAAAATTTTAAAAATTGACAGTCCAAAATTACGTTACAGGACGCACTATTTCCAAAACTTGAATTCTATTTTTTTCTCATGTTTATGCATGTTGATGTCGAAATGATCAATTAAAGGATATTTAAGCATCAAAACAACTCTTCTAGTGAAAAATTTGAGGTGGGCTATAATTCGATTGTTTAGAGCCTCCGCTCTATATAAACTTTTTTCAAAGATAAATGGTCTTTTGTGGACAATCAATCCCATACATAAAACATACGGCAATTGCGTGCAGTCTAACACGAGAGAGAGAGAGAGAGAGGACAATCCCATACTTCGCAATTTCGTGCAGTCTAACACGAGAGAGAGAGAAAGGACAATCCCATACTTAAAATACTTAGCAATTTCGTGCAGTCTAACACGAGAGAGAGATTGAGGTATTTTAGGATCCAAAATTTGGGACTATAAACTCCTTAAATACCCTAAAAAATAATTTGAATGCTTGAAAATAAACTTAAAATCCTATCTTCTTCTTTTGACAATACCGGTGATTCTAAACGTATATTCCAAAATTTTAATTAAAAAAACCAAAACCATTTTTAAAAGTTTTTAACTCAAAGAGGCAGGTGCACAATATGCTACAGGGGGCGCATGTTATATCTACTAATTTATTAGAGTAACAATCACAGATTTAATCCAACTTTTAATCGATTTTATGGAAAGGACCCAAGTATTTAATACTTTTCCAATAGGCTATTTGATGCTATATGGCAGAGGTTGAATGGCTGAGCTTAGGTAACCAATGATTGCATCACCCATGTGGAAGATACATGGGGGACCCCTAATAAGTGCCTGAATTTGTGGTTATCAATGTAAAATTAATAAATAAAATTTACATTAATCACAAAAAAACTAAGGATTTCACATAAATTAAATCAATAAATAAATTGCTTTTGGCCCCAACGTAAGGATTTCAAGTCCATAATCTAAAGCTCCATTTGCTGATTAACTTAATACTTTTGGCCTTCTAGGGATTGAATGCACAGACAAATCCATCATTTTTCAATGATCTTGCATGTTATATAACATGGTAGGGAATGGGAAAAATAATTAAAAAGTTCTTGACTTTGTTTTGCAAATGGATTGAATACTGTATAGAAAACATTTAAAATTTATTAATATGCACTTCTTCTCTTGAGTACCAAGTTGTACCATTTCGTACTACTGTTTTAACCCTATAGTTGGTGACTATGTGCACATGCCCTAGAAATTCCTTTTGTGGAGCATGTGCACAGGATTGCTTTCCCCATGGAATGTATATAATGACCAAATTAGCCTTGAAGTAGACAATAAAATATTTGTGAACTTTTAGCCAAAATGGAGTGATAAATTGAACCACTTTTCATGGATATAAACCCCATATTTCACAAAAATTTAGCAAAATTGTTATAAATAAATACATTCCCTGGGATCTAAGTAAAGTGAATGTTGTGTTTCACATGTGGAACTTTTCACTAATAGTTCAAATTATTGTAAATTGAGAGCCTACTAGGGCATTTAGCCATGGGTAAGGTTTTAAGGCACAAAACTTCAACAATTAAAGTAAGGCGAACCTTCAAAACCCTATTGGAAGATGGATCTTTAGTGCCGAAAAATCTTATAGTGATCTGGAAATCTATTTCTACCCGAAGTATAAAATTTAAAGCCCCAAAAAAGATACAGATCGAGCAGATCTTTAAGCACTTGAAGCTCTTAAAATTGATGGACCAAATAATTTGTTACAAGATCCACTAATTCTATGACTTGAAATCCTTTCTCGATATTGAGATGATAAATTTGACGGTTTTCTAGCACCGGAAAACTTTTTCCATGGGTTTTTGAAGTCTAGCTTACTTTCATAGTATAATGTTGATACTTTGTATAAATATTTTTCATAAGTTATTTCCTTTTCTCTTTTGCTAATTAGTATATCAATAGTGTAGATCAAACTCCTTGATACTTAGTTTATAGAGAGCAATTATGCTAATTGCCAAAAATATAGCTAATATCATGCTTTGCAGTTTTGAAAATTTGAAGGGCATTTTAGTTTTGTCCCTGTTAAGGGGTATTCAGGTCATTTAGGAAGAACCAAAGTAAATTTTATTGTGTTTCTATTAGCCCACCATTTATTTTTTAACTATTTTAAAGTGGACTAAGATATTTGACCAGCTTGTATAAATACCCAAGAGTTGGGACCCCATTTCTCATTGAGAAAGTTTGGTGTCAAGACAAGAGAGGGTCAATGGAGAAGCAAAGCTGTTCTAAAGTTGGAGGTGTTCTATTTGCCCTTGCCTTGTTTATCTCCAATTTTGGAAAGACATTGGCTGTTTGGAGTTCTGCGTATGGTACTTTCTATGGTGGAGGAGATGCATCAGGAACAATGGGTCAGTAAAAATCCTCATTTCTTCACCCTTGGTCCTTTGGCTTATTTTTGGAGCTTGCATTACATTTGGTAGTCCCTCTTCTTGGGATTGCATTTATTTCTCCTCATGTTTAAGCTAAATTTCAACCTCCTATTTGTATTTATGAAAAAGCATATAAAGAGGTCATTTAGTTTTAATACAAGGAGGCCACAATAACTCTCGGGTGGTGTTGAATGCGTCATTGACTAAACTCAAAATTCAAAAAAAAGACGTTCAAAAATTTGTATCTACTTAAAATTATTCAATTTTTTTTCGTTTGTTGATGATGCAGGGGGTGCTTGTGGCTATGGGAATTTGAATGACAATGGATATGGCATTAAAACAGCAGCACTGAGCACAGCTCTCTTCAATAATGGAGCCACTTGTGGTGCCTGCTTCCAAATAATGTGTGATGCTAGCCAAGTTCCACAGTGGTGCTTGAAAGGCACCTCCATCACAATAACTGCCACCAATTTTTGCCCCCCAAACTTTGCACTGCCAAGTGACAATGGAGGGTGGTGCAACCCACCCAGAGAGCACTTTGACATGTCTCAGCCGGCTTTCCAAAGCATTGCCATTTACAAGGCAGGCATTGTGCCTGTTCTCTATAGAAGGTGCTCTCTCTCTCTCTCTCTCTCTCTCTCTCTCTCTCTCTCT